TCTAGGCAGGCAAGGTTCTTTGGGTAGATGTGAGATCTTTTATTACACCAACTCAAATAGTTGAGAAAAAGTTATTTGCAAGCTTTTGGGTACAAACACCTTCTTCAGGCACTGGGAGACTCTGCTGCTGTTATGAGTGCTCCAAGGTAGAAAGGAAGGTAAAGTGTAACAAGAAGTCTGTGAAAATGTAAATAAGTGGAAGTTTGGAAGACAATGAGTAGAGATAGGAGGGGAGGGGGTAGGGAGGAAGGAATGCAAGTGGCCAGCTTCAGGCAGGTCACCTGGTGAACTATATGTCAGGCAGGTTATAATGTATCATAAATCCAATGTCTATATTAAGTCCATGATTTTTTGTCTCCAGTAGATTTATGAAGTGAAGTTTGTAGGCTCATCTATGAAAGGTGTTTTGTAAGATCCCTTTGAGGATTAGAACTGAGAGGTTGGAGAGGGAGTGATTATTTTGTGGGAAGTGGGCACCCACAGGTAATTGGATATTTTTGTCCTTGATGGATTTTCAGTGTGCATTCATTCCGGTGTGCAGTTGTTGTTTGAACCTCCAGAAATGTAATATATCTCAACCAGTTTGCCAAATGCCCTGATAGAAAATATGTAGGAGAAACCAAACAACAACTGCTCACCAGAACGAACACACACTGAAAATCTATCAAAGACAAGAATACCCAGCTACCTGTCGGGGTGAATTTCTCACAAGACAATCACTCCCTCTTCAATCTCTCACTTCTAATCCTCAAAGGGAACTTACAAAACACCTTTCGTGGATGAGCCTATGAACTTCACTTCATAAATCTATTGGATACAAATAATCATGGACTCAATGTAGACATTGGATTTATGGCACATTGTATAACCTGCCTGACATCTGATTCATCAGGTACCTGCCAGACCTGACCTCTTGCATTTTTCTTTTGCCCCACTTTCTCCCTTACCCTCCCCTATTTTTCTGCCTTTTGTTTTCCTAATTTCTAGCTATTTCCCTTTTCACAGACAGCCTCTTTACTGTAGTCTCCATTACTCACCTTTGGCTCCCCCCCTATCATTTTCCCACCTTTCCTTCCCTGCTCTATCTTTTGTTTTCCTAATTTCTACCTATTTACATCTTCACTGACATCCTGTCACACTTTTAGCTTCTCTCATTCCTTGGAGTCTCAAACAGCAGAGACTCCCTATGCTTGAAGAAGCATAGATTGTGCCTGAAAGCTTGCTAAGAACTTTTTTCCAACTACTCAGCTGGTCTAATAAAAGATATCACATCTACCCAAAGAACCTTTCCTGCCTATGTCCTTAGACCAACACAGCTACAACTAACAGCTCTGGTCATCTAGAGTGCTTTTAATGTCTGACCTCTGCACTAGAACTGGTAAATATATGCACTGCTGTCAACAGACAATATGGGAAGTACACAGTGGCTACATCTACACAAGATACTGATTGTACAGTTGTTACATCAGAAACAGCCTTGGGGTCAGTGTGTTGGGAAAATATTTCAGTAGTTATCATATAAAAATATTACTTTCTAATTAAAACTGAGATGTTGCTGAAAACATGAACAGGCACTTTCTTACTCATTAGAAGGAAATTATTGTCTCTGCTCCTAAAGTAATTTCAAAGTTCTTTCTTTTTTTTTCTTTAACATTGAAATTACACAAGGAAGGGAGAAGTATAAAGTGTTTAAAGACATAGTTTTCTTGTCTCTCTCTTGCAAAGTATAATGAAACTTGATGATGCTTCCTCATAAATGCTTTGTGTTAAGTGCTTTTCACAGCTTAAAGGCAGGTTTTTACTAGGCTGGGACTTAATTAACAGAATATTGTTTGTTCTTTCTTTATATAAGAGTTGGAAAAGTGTTGGTGTGTACAAGTGTGTATTCTCTTCCTTTTCTCTTTTGAACAAAGAGAAATTGAATTTTTTACCTGGTAAAAACTAATAAAGGATATTTAACATGATGAGAGACCTTGCAGCACAGTCCATTTCGTCTCGCACCCTTTGGTTTCCCACACTTTGTCCATCACCACAGCATCTATGACATGTTTAGCAAAAGAAAAGAAGCCGAGTAATGTAGATCAAAGACGATCAAAATGGGGAACTAGAGGGGTCAGTCTTATCTTCCTGGTGTGGAAAGTATTCAGGAGGTGGCTACATTTTAATGGGCCATACAGCCAATATCATTTAGTCCCTGGTTCTAGTGCCCAGTCATCTTAGGTTCATGTTTTAAAGGTGTTAGGTAAATTTCTCTTAAGCGTGAGGATAATGAAGTCAGAGATGGAGTGGTTGTCCTGTGAGAAATATGCTCCTAACGATGAGTGTATTTCTCTGCCCTTATATATATAATTTCTATGAGAGTTCATTCTGGCATGTAGTTTCTGTTTATTTTCATGCATAAAGTTGCCATGAGGGCATTTGGTGCATTGGATCAGGCACACCACTTATTGGAAAAGGCACGTGTAGGAACCATGGATTTTGATGGTTTCTTTATGGGGTGTGTTAACAGTAGTGGCAGTGGAGATGTGCCAACATGCTAAGCATCTGTGTTCACTTGGTCTGTTGGGCAGTGGATAGACTGCTTCTGATGAGTTGGGCAAGATTGGGGGGCTGTTTGAAAGCCAGGAATTGAGATGCTGGGAATATTTCTATCAAGGTCAGATCTTTGCCCAGGATGGGTTGTGGTTGTGTATTGATGCTTCCTTCTTATTGGTTCCAGTGTGGTGCAGAGGATCACCAGTGTGTGTGGTCATGGGGGGGGGGGTTCTTTCTTTTGGTATTGTAGCAGGTTAATGTGGGGCATTTGGGTCACTTGTTCAAATGCACCATCTCTCTACTGCAGGGTCCTCATTGTACAAAGGCAGATTTCAGGCTGGACAGGGGGGCATAGCAAGTCTTCATTGAGCAGACGTGGTAGTACCTGAGGACCCCTCCCTGATGTCGTGCTTCACTTGCTACCCCTGGCTTCCTAGAATCAGGCACCTGAGGAAGAAAATCTTCCGTTTCAAAGCTCGTCTAACTATCCCAGGTGGGCCAATGAAAGAGATGGCCCTGAGACGGCCTGTCCCCTCGCGGCTCCAGGATCACTCTTGCAGCTGCGGGGCTGATCCTGGCCGGGGGGGCGGGTGTCCGTGCTGCCCTGCGCCCCAGCCCTTCCCGCTGTGCTGCGACGGGACGGCCGCTGCCCTCACGCTTCAGCACCGCGGAGAGCGCCCGGCCGGGTCCGGCTCAGCACCGCGGAGAGCGCCCGGCTCCGCCGTCTCCGTCCCGGGGCTCGCGGCGGCGGCGCCGGGGAGGCCACGG